GAGTTAACAAGCCAATCTGAAAGGCTGAAGGCATACCCGTCCAATCTTGCAGTAACCCATAGAAAGGATCTCAATTGGATAGTTTCCAGCAACTTTCCCAGGTCTATTTTTTTGTCTTGGAAAATCATTTGATTCCGGTCAAGCCACACTGACCAAATTACATTACTCCAAATGCAATCCCAGCCTTCTCTTAACCGTGGATCTTTACTCCATTCCCCAAAAGCTGAAAAGATTTCCAGCAATCCCTCTCCAGCAGAATCTCGATCCTCCACCATTTAGCACACTCCTGCCACACCCATCTGGTTGTTTTGCATTTTAAGAATAGATGTGTAGAGTCTTCATCTTCCTCATTACAAATAACGCATTTACCATCACCCGAGTCTCTGAGAATCCCTCTAGTGATCAAATTCGATTTGGTTGGAATTTTGTTGAGCAATAGCTGCCAATTGAAGGCTGAAACTTTGCTCGGAAAGCTGGGATTCCATATTCTTTTGAACGTTGAAATATCAGTTGTTCCTATCTGTTCTTTTGTTAGAATTGAGTAGGCTGTTTTTGTCGAGTATTGTCCATCTTTGTTGTGAATCCATTCCTACGAATCAGGCCTTCCATGCGTGATCATCTTGTCTTCTATCACTTCTTGGAGTCCCCTAGCCTCTTCAGTTTCCCATTCAAATAGTTTCCTTCTCCATTTGAGGTTCCATCTCCCTGGTTCATTCCTATCATTTCTCATTTGGTAGCACGTGTTCTCCTTTCCTATTGATAATAAATACAATCTAGGGAACTTGTTAGCAAGATAGCCCACCCCACACTAATTATCCCACCAAAAGCTAACACTCTTGCCATCCCCTAGCTTTGTTCTAAACCCCTTCATCAGCCATCTTGCTCTCTCTCTATCCATTTTATCCATGCAACACACATCTCTCCACCATATAGAACCTACTCCTCTATATTCTTTAATCTCGTCCAACCAATGACCCCCTCCCTCTCCATATTTGCCTACAACTACTCTCTTCCACAATCCCTCCTCATTTTCTGCAAGACGTCCCCACCATTTTCCCATCAATGCCAAGTTAAACTTTCTCAAATCTCTCACTCCTAGCCCGCCTTGCTCTCTTTTTTTACACACCTTAACCCAGCTGACCCAATTTATTTTTCTCTCTTCCCCGCCACCACCCCATAAAAAGCTTCTATGAATCTTATCAATAGAGTAGAGTATACCTTTCAGGATTAAGTAGACTGACATGAGGAACACAGGTAGGCTGGACAACACTGAATTAATGAGCGTGATGCGACCTCCCAAGGAAAGGTGCCGACCTTTCCAGGTAGCTAACTTCTTTTTGAAAGATTCAACCATTGGCTGCCACATTGCTACTCTTTTGTGATTTCCGCCTATTGGGATCCCCAAATATTTAAATGGGATCTCCCCTTCCTTGCAGCACAGCTTGTATGCCATCTTATTTCTCTAATTGTCTTCTACCCCTATCCCTATTAGTTGGCTCTTCCCAAAATTAATTTTAAGACCAGAACTCAGCTCAAATGTTCTCATTATGCTTTTAATAACCCCAATATTGTCCTCTGATGCCTCTCCAAAGAAGATAGTATCATCCGCAAATTGTAGGTGTGAAACCGTGACTCCTTCGTTACCAATCACCACGCCTTTATATAGTTGTTTCTCCACTTTTTAGATGACATTCAGTTGGTCGCTTTTAGTCTTTAGTCCTTTTGATCATATGCAATTCATGGTTTCAATATTTGTATTCACAGCTACGTCTTTTGGCAAGTTGCAACTGAAACCTCTTCTACCTTTACTACAAAGCATTCCAGATGAATTCTTTCTTTTGGCAAGAAATTCCATGTTAAGCTTACCCACAGGTTTGCTGCCTTGGTCTTCAACCTCCGTTTTCTTGCCTTGTTATTTGCATCTTAAGAGAAGTATTTCTTAAACGTAGGTGGCTATGCTGTCTGGATTGTCATATTAATTACAGTTTCTAACTTTTAAAGTTGTCAATCATTTCTTTAGGTGGCCATTTGAGGATGCTGATGGATAATGTAGTGAAGGGCATTGCTCTAGGACAATCTGTTGTTGGATAGCTGTCACAGGATACTGTTACTGCGTCATCTTGCCTCTCTGTAAGATGTGTTTTCGAGTGCATTATACATCTTTCTTTAGTTCATATTAAGAAGAAATTCTGATTTTCATTTACATGCTACAAATTGTGGAAAGATAAATGATGATTTTAAGTCACAGGTTCTGGTTGAAATCTTATCCAAAGAATTGCTTGAATGGAAGCTACAAATGCTGAAATCTGCTTCTGCATATGCCAATTCGCTTTTTTCCCATTTTTTGTCCGAAATTTTACTTTAGTTGTCATCTTAGATTATAAGGTTTTATGATGTTACAAAATAGTTGTTTTGGCCTCTCATGCAGGAAGATGGTATTGATTTGGTAACAATCAACAAGGGAACTAGCTTGTATCGTCGTAGAAAATACCATGACTGTGTGTCGGATTACATGCCACCTTCGCCTGCTGAATTCAAGAAGTTATATGCACCGAGAGAAAGCACAAGAAAATGCACCAGCATTGCAGAACAAAGTCAGCAAATCTCAGATTACACTGCAGACTACAAATAAGTGGGTGTAATTTTGTCAAAATGGCCACATAAATCAGCAAAAATGGCCAACTCCCAACTACATTTTACTTTTATTTATTACTTTAGTTAACTTCAGCCTATAAATGCCCTTGTTCTCCCCGTTGTATAGATTAGTTCTTATCAAGTTTTAATAAAAAATTTCAGTTTATAATTTTTTTTTGTTTGCGTGAGTTTTTGAAAATAATTATCTTTTAATTTATCTTTGTATTTTAAATTTTATCAATTTAAATAATATTTTAAATAATCAAATTCAACGTAATAAAATTTTAAATCTCATCAAAATTAATAATTTGGTATCGGCCCTGCATCATCATATGAATCAAATAGGTAAGCATTTTTGGACAAAGCATATGTCAATCATGACCAAAAGGCTAGAGACATACCAGTTGTATGTCATAAGTAGGGCGCAGAACAACGAGATAGATTAGTCCAATAGGAACAAAACAAAATAAGTACAGTAATTAAGAAATAAATATTCAAAAAGTCTTTTAGTTTGTGACGTTGTGTGCTGCTCCAATCCAATTAGCACAGTTTCCTCGGACACGTATTAGCAATTAATTCCTTTGCCATCAATGATAAATGGCGACTTTGAAAGTCGAAACAATTCAATGAATGAATGCCTAATATATATGAACTATTAATTTGTTTATTTAACTTATCGAGGTTTTATTTGACTGTATGTAGGAATATAGCATATAATAAGGAATTTTTTCATTTAGTATAGAGTTAATGATGTGATTGTTGTATTTTTTTAATAATATTTTTTTTTTTTGAATAATGAGAATTTTTTCTTCGGGGATAAAAAAAGTGGGATTTGGGTTTGAACCCAAGTGCAATTAGTCCTAAGGACGTTTTGCTTTGTAAAGAGATCAGTTGACTTCCAAGTGTTGAATTATTTTTTTAATATTAATTAATATTATAAAAAAATAGAATTTGATTATAAGTAGGATATTTCTTTTTGATTATAGTCATTATAACCTGTTTGATTATAATTAAGTAGAAATAGAATTTGAGCGTCACAGGGGCAGGCAAGGCAGGGAATGAACCATGCCTGATATTTTCAACAAATGAGTAATGCAAATACAATGTCAATACAAGGCGCTAATGGCTGATTTGTCATTTTATATCCAAACTCAAACCTTGTAAAATGCAACTTTAATTTTCTTTTTAATAAATACTTTTCCTTTTGCTTTTTTATTTAATATTTATTTTTAGTTACTATAAAAATTAAAGAAATAGACATTCTAAGCTTCTAGCTAGAATTTTAAATTTGATAATTGGATTTTTCTAAACTGTACTTAATATATATTAAAAATATAT